CAGATTTTCCAAGTTTTGTGAGGAATTTGATGTTAGCACGTTGTTCTGCATTAGCACTCAGCATTATTCCGACGGAGCTCAGAAACACGATCCGCTTCTAACAATGGTCGCGGCCAGACTAACCGATGCACGTGAATGAAACTTTGTGTGACGGTAGAGGGAAGTCCAAGGGTCAATGCCCTACCCTCCTCTTCGTCAATGACGTGGCCGGAAATGAGTCATAAAAGTAATCCGGGTTCTTTATTGCCACACCTTGTATCTCAACAGCATGTATGCATTTAAGTGCCATTACAGAAAGCTGCTGTCTTCGAAGGCTGTAGCTGTGATATAAGGGGGATTGCTCTACATTGCTACAAAAATGAAGCTGAATGCCTTCTATGCAGTGCACTTCATAGCCAAAGTCTAGCAGATAGTAACACCCACTACAATCAACAACTGATTGTCAAATGATTTGGAATCACTTAGTCATCATGTGAGCAGCAATGGTAAAAATGCTATGAAATTCACTGAAAATCAAGATGACTGATGTAGTTTATAACCTCTTAAAGTGCAGTCTGAGGACTACAGAATATGTGACAGTGCTCTTAATGTTTGTGAATGCTTTTGAATTCCAGCTGTATTAAAAGTATTCCAGGTATTAAAAGTCATGTTCACAGTGAAGTCCATCCAGTTTCAAAAATGTGTCAGATGGTACAGGCGATGGCAGAGAAAGTTGCAATTTCACTTGGGTTGGCCATTTTCATATTATCATCAATAAGGATCTTAAAATGTATTGCATCATCCAAATTATCATACCAGTAATGCTAATGCAATGACACAGATGGCAAATCTTGTGTTTAACAATCCTCCAAAAACAAATATTCCAGCAAGAAAGCTTGAAAAGGAAGGTGGTGGAAGTATGTTTTCACTGGAAGAGCACTGCAAGATAATTCCTGAAGGTGTTACAATCAGTAAGGACAGATACACGGGACAATTTGTCTGATGCATCCTGAAATGTGAAAGGCCAAAGACTGGCTCATCCTGCAGAGCAGTGTCCTGGTACATAGGTCTCTGCCTGTGCAGCAGAAACTTGTCAAAGAGTGGTACTGTGATGACTCTTTAAAACAGGGCAAGAATAACAAACATTTTAATTGAAGATCTACACGCATTTTAAACATAACTTACTAAATATTTATTGGAGAAAAAACTTATTTTGTACAAACATTGTACAGAAAACTAAAAACACATACCCAATGCAAGTTTTTTGAAAGTCTTTTACAGTTTTTGAGATAATTACAAGTAACTTTCCTCCGAGGATACAGAATGGGTTCAGTGGCTTTAAAGATTACACTGCAAGTCACATGGTGGTTTCCAGGCATGTTTCAAACTGTACAATAGCTGTCAAAAGGTTGTTAATCAGCTGAAGAATGAGAGTATGTTGGAGGCAAATGTGTCTGTGGGGTTCTTGGTCCTGCCAGATGTGAAATATGGCTAGTTCTCTGGAACTTTGTGAAGCTATCACAATTTATAAACAGCAGGATATAAATATATGCTGAAACATACTCAGAGAGTCCTCACTTGCAGTTTCTTCATTATCTCAGTCACTGAGGACCCATCATTGGATGCTGACCCATTGCAATGCCAACAGGATATGGAGGCTGTGGTGGACCACCAGGCTGCTGAGGTGGACCTGCACCAGGTTGTGGTGGCAATCCTACCACTCCTCCTGGCATTGGTGAATGCATTTGCATTGCAGGAGAAGGCTGCATGGTTGGGGGAGCAGGAGAAGAAGCCACCTATAATGTTAGCATTAACTCACACACAAAACTTAGAAATCTAAGAAATCTGCAGACATGAGTATTGTAACCTAGAAAGAGGGTTCATATTAAATTCTTCTAATTTAATGTACTATTTTTAATCACCATCAATTACAGCATTTTGTTCCTAAATCTGGTTCAACCATCTCTTCACTGGTCTTGAAGTTTTTTATTTCCTTGCAGGTGGGACTGCCAAGTCTGTTTGGGTATCTGACAGACTTCCATTCTTTGTAGATGATGCAAGCACTTATCTCCAAATTTTGTACTTAAGCTGAAAACATCTAATTTTTCCATGGTACATTTAACACGTATGTAAGTTGTGAAAAATAACACTTACCATTAGGTTAGTATACAAATGATTTCAACTGTTATATCAAGGAATAGTTGAGTATTTCATACATTAATAAAATGGTTAATTTAAAGTAATAAGAGAACAAAACTGCAATATAACTTTAAGTTTATATGACATATACTTATTCCACAAAGTGCATATGAAGGCAATTAAAATGTAAAATAACAAGCTTTTCACTAGGTGTCGGGATAGGTTAGGAGTAAAATGTAGAAACCATACCTTCACTTTACACATTATATGCTCTCCGTCACTTATTCTATGCCACATCTAGTTAAAATACATAAGATTACGGTAACACACTTTAATTGCAACATTTAGTTATTACATGAAATAGCTACACATTCCCTGAAATAATGGAAATACACACTTTAAGAATAAGATGAAAATATATACATATTTATGAATGAAATTTTGGCCATTTTCATGGACTTCTGAAAAGGATATGGAAAATTCATATTTACATGTTTCACAGTTCTTGAGAAAAATATACTGAAAAGAAAAGAAAAAAGTTTCTTTTCTTGTTATCACCAAAATAACATATGGATCCTGTCATAATACCAAAATATTATCAAGCAAAATAGCAGTAACAGTGCTCCTTTTCTAAAACATGTTTGCTAGTACTCTCATGGTCAGTTTTTCAACCTCAATGTTGAAACATATAGTACACTCTGAAAGTCTACCAGCATATGACATTTATTTGCCAGTATTACAGGCTGAGAAGTAACAATGGTTATGAATATACAGATACAACAGACATGTAGACCAAGTCTGAATCTACCTACAGAACTTTTTCATTTTATTTTGAGTTGCCTATTTTCTGGGCCTGTATAATCACATACATGGAAACCACATTTTCTTTCTTTAAAATTAAGCCTTATCTAGAGTTTAAAGTCTTAAAAATGTTCAAAATAACATTCCCTAAACTTTATCAAAAAATGTATGAAACTGTTCCCTTATAAGGCCATGTAGTAATTATACTTAACATGCATGTCTGTTATTTAAAACACTGTCACTATAAGTACAGGTGTAAACAGAAGTCACAAAATCATAAAGAAACTAATTTTTGTATGCACTTCTAATTTCTCCCATCTGTGCTACACATCCCCGTATCTCATCCTCCTTGATCCAATCACCCTGCAATATTTGCTCAGTAAAATTACAAAGCTTCTCAATGTGCAGTTTTCTCCAACCTTCTGTTAACTTCTCTCTTAAGTTAAATCATTCTTTTCAGCATCCTGTTCTCAGACACCTTCCATCTAGATATTCATTTTTGGTTGAAATACCAAGTCTCACATCCACACAAAATAACAGGAAAAATTGAAGTTTTCTATATTCGAATTAAATGGTCGCAAGCAGTCCTCAAATTTACTTACTTACTTACTAATGGAGCTGAGCCCTTCTGGAGGAGCTGTCAATTCTACAGCTACTCAAGAATTTCCCAGCATTTTATGGAGCACGAAGGTTCATCACCGTGTTCACAAGAGCCCTCCGCTGGTCCCTATCCTGAGCCAGATCTATCCAATCCATCCCATCCCATCCTATATCTCTAAGATTCATTCTAATATTGTTCACCCGCCTACACCTTGGTCTTCCCTGTGGTCTCTTTCCTTCTGGCTTTCCCACAAATATCCTATATGCATTCCTCATATTAGTCCCTGCTATGACAGAAGAAGAAAAAGACAAACTAATAGGAATGGGTCTTGCAGCACTAAGCTTCTGTCCCTTGCTCCCACCATGAGACCTACATATTCCTTTCTCTCTCACCCTCACACTAAACATGGTGACTGCAATCTATGCTGACATGTTGGAGCAGTCTCAGGACAGTGCGACTGAACCCCATGAACTGAAGTTATATGTCAGACACAGGCTAAACAGGACAAGAGAATTTTCCATTGTACTTGTTGTCAGACAACCATGTTACCTGTGCTTGAGATTCTGATGGAAGACTGAGGGTGCAAAGCAGGTCCCTCACAGCAGGAAACAGTGAACATTCATTATGGCTGACCCCAAACTCTGCAAATCTCTTAAGCTGAAGGCTGGCTGCAGTTGTGGCTGAAGCTGGTCCAGGATCTCGCTTCTCTGCCAGTTGTGTAAGGTTTGTACTCACATCATACACCAATGGCAGAACCAGTGATGGTGCCTCCATGCTGGATGGGTATGGACCTCCAATACGAGTAATTTGGAGCTGGATAAGATTAATTGAACCATGAAACTGGATGATATTGACAAGAAATGTAACTGAAGTGACTCATGATTCTTAACTTACTTCACAATACACTTAATTGGCAGAAATTATTCTATACCAAATAAAAGACAGTAATGAATCATGAGTACGTAAGGACTTGAAAGGATATGGTTGTGGTCAGTCTGAAGGTTCTTATTCAAACATTCATCAAGCCACAGTGAAAAAAGGTATGAAAAACCTCAGTGAACATAGTGAAAATCGAAGTGAAGATATGAATGGGAGATGTATGTCTACAGCATTATCACTGCACTGACAAGACTTGCAATTTTCAAACGACATCACTCTCTGTCAATAAAACCCACAGGTCTGATGGTTGTGGTTCAAAAGCCAGTCAAGGCCTACTCCTTTTTCATTCATTCAAAATCTATAGGTTCAACCTAACCTCTGGATACAATCCTCAGCCAGTACTATTCACCTCCCATGTTCAGTCAAAAGTTAATCTAATTATTTACAATGAAATGTCATATGTTGAGGTGGAAAAGATAAACAAATTCACCAAGCTTCATGAAAACTGGAGATGAAATCAGAGATTCTGAATTATTACATGAAACTGACATAAGTGAAACTGGTTAAGAACACATATATTTAGCACTTAAAAGCATTGCAAGGTTTAACATTTATCATCCAGGAATACGGATTTTAAATTGAAGGGCACTAGAGATGGTGCCCATATTTTAATGGGGGCAACAGTTTATCATCTGAGAACAGGAGATTTTAAACTCTCATTTATAAAGGGCTGGCAGCCCTTAGGAAAGATGTAATGGTATAATTATTTAAAAATTTACAATGCTTGACCAACTGGATGGCACACATGCCTGACTCAGTTATGAGGTGGCCTGTAAAGCTTAAATTGGCACTTGATAATAATCCAGCATAGGACGTGGCTACTGCTGTGAAAGGAGAAGAGCTGAACTTACAAAAAACAGAATCTTGGTCCTACAAACTAGCACTGCTGCCATTCCAATTGGCACAATAGGTGTTGCAGATGGTGGCGTCCTTAAGCTCCACTGCACAGCCCACTTCATTTGTTGCTGTTGTACCAGACCTGGCATCTTATAAAGACAAAATTTGACATTAAACCCAAGCAGGTGCAAACCTGTGAGATCTGTGATAAGTATACGATCAGTTTATTCCTACATAGTAATTGGGACTACCAAGATCCCTCCACCTCCCAGACAAAACTACATACAGAGTATATGAACATATTCATATTGTGGTCCAGATTATGGCATAATATAGTATAGCCAGTGAGTTCCGATATATGAGAGAAACATACTGTCTCCATCTTCAGGGTATAAGCCCTTACATTCACTTACCAATTCAAGTTTCATGATTTGTACGAAGTCTTTAAGAACATTGTATGGCACGTTCAACATCCGCCCAAAACCTGACAAAGCATTGGGTTTATATGGAGGAGCAGCTGCTCGGGTGTCAAAGAACTTCTCAATAATCTGAAATCAACAAGAAATAAAAAAAAACTTAACCCTTAAAATCATCATACTCACATCATCCATTCTTTCACTAAAAACACAACACAAAACTTACTTTCATACCATAGAATTTTTATTCACTGGTTTTATCAAGTACTGAACCCAATACTGAAATAAAAAACTCTGGGTCTAGCATGATACAATGTATTGAAACTACTTCTATAGCAGACACTCTTCCATGAAAAGGTGTTTACTCAGCTGGTGAAGAAATTACCTGCTTTTATAGAATCCAAAAGATTGTTACTATAGTCATCAAAACCTGACATTACATCTACACTGTCCTGAGCCAGTTGAATTCAGTACATACCTTTAATCTTACATCCATAAGATCCATTTTAACACTATCCTACTATCTAAGACTCAAGTCTCCAATGTCATCTGTTCCCTCTAAGTTCATGACCAAAATTTTATGTTCATTTTTCATTCCCCCCATACGTACTACATAACCTAATTGCAACATTCTTCTTGGTTTACTTTCCTAATAATATGAGATACAGAGTACAAATTATGAAGGTCCCCATTATGAAGTACACATTATATTTCAAACTCTCCTTAATTATATAAGAATAAAATTTCCTTAGAATGACACACCTTACCAATCTGATTTTTGTAAAGTATGTCATACTGTACCACCACTGTCTTGAATCACAACTTGCAACGAATCTAATAACAGAAATGTTACACACATCAGAATATTTGGTGTGAGTAGAGTCTAAATTAAATGTCAAGTGAGAGGATTAGGTACGTTAGGAATACTTTGTGTGAGAGCTAGTTCTTCCTTGCTTAAAAACCTCTTTTTTGTTTAATTCACTTAGTGGGGGGTGGAGTCCAACTGGGTCCACTCGGCACAGCGGCCACTGATTGGCCTACTGTAGCCTGCACCGGTGATTATCATGATGGAGAATTTGGTGGAATGAAGAATGGCAGGGGAAACTGAAGTACTCGGAGAAACCCCACCCCAGCGCCACTTTGTCTGCCACAAATCCAACTTGACCAGACCCGGGATCGAACCCGGGCCACCACGGTAGGAAGCCAGCGACTAACTGCTTGAGCTATGGCGCAGTCTTAAAAAACCTCTTACAATTCTGCTAAAATTAAATGGTAAGGTCTGGGAAGAACTCATGATGTCAGCATTTGTTAGAATGCATTAATCTGTACAGTAAGGCTAACAAAAACCATAAATTAACATTCACACAATTTAGTTATCCCCATAATCTCCACTAGTACAGACTCCAAATTGTACATGTGACTACCTTCTTTGGGGATTCCTCAAGGAAAGGCCACAAACAGTAATGGAATTGAGAGCACTAATCATTCGGCCTGCAACGAGATAACTGAGGATATGTGCTGTCAAGTAATCAACATCACAGTTCGAGTTGAAGTTGCCAGACGTAATGGCGGTCATATTGAACACTTGATTCATAGAAGATAAATCTCCATACAATGGTCTTTCTTTTTGTGTTAGTTTCCAGTATTGTAATTGAAATAAAGACTATATTAATAGATCAAATATTGGACCATTTCATGTGCCACTCTGTAAGAAGCACTGATACACTGGTCACCTTTTCTGCTGACGTAAGAGTTGGCTGGGTGCCAACAGAGTACCCCGGAATGCCACTTATGGATGGATTCAGGAAAATTCTGGAATCATATGTCAACCATAAAATGTCTATTCCTACAAAAAAATTAAAAGAACTGAAAAAACTCAGCAATAGGGGCTGGGCTAGCATGGAAAAAAAAAATGTTAACAGCTACATTCATATTAAGAAATTAAAATTTACTCAGGAAATTTAAAAGAAAAAATTGGGAGTAAGGATGCAAATTGCGTACATAAACTACACCACAACATTTGCACATTACTTTAACAGCCGTGGGCATTGGACATAGTGGCAAGAGTATAGAGACAATTTCATATCTTTGGGTGTTCTCTTTTTCATCTGTGGCTGAAACTGGGAACAGACAGGGAAGTTACATTTTTATATGTATTAGATTAGTCACATCTGGTCTGATTTATTTTTTAAGCATATCTCACTCCACGTGAGCAGTGAATACAATGAGAGTAGTCTTGGTAAAACTTCCCTTACCTGCATCTCTTCAGCTGACCATTGTTCCTTGTGGTCAGGTAATGGAGATACCTTAATATGGAGTGACTGCAGATGTTGGGGATTCAGACCTACGCGACACTGTAGAGATTCCACCTTGAAATTCACTACACCAGGCTCTGTAGATGGGATACCAGCCAACTGATGGCAAAAATTTATATTCATTCATAATTTTCTAAATTCACTATGAAAAAACTAATCAAACATTGTACTAATCAGCAAAATTATTAACAAGAATGTATGATTAAAGGTCACAGTATAGTGATAACCACTCTTGCTACACATTCCACAGGTAATGGGTTCAAATCCGAAGGACATCTAACATGATGTACAGTCTTCTGGGATGTGATGCAGTGTACATTGGTAGAAAGATACCAACATTTCAGAGGAACCAGCTGCTTCTATCTTCAGTCTTCTACACTCTTCTGCCACTTTTTTTTTTGCGAGTTATTTAATGACACTATCAGTATCTAGAATACAGAGTATCAGTTCTTTCACTCTTCTATCCTAAAGACAGACACAACAGGTGCCCCCAAAACACTGGTATCTTTCTTCCAAACTACATGGCATCATATCTCAGAAAACCATGATCTTCATTCTCACTGTCAGGAGTTCATATTCTACAAGTTGGCATTACTGTCACAGAATTGTGATGCAGACTGCTCGTATGCATAACAAGAAATGCAGAGCACAGGAACTTGATAAGACAACTGAAGAAATTGGGCATGACATTGCTAGATTTCCAACATATCACTGTCAGTACAGTGCTACAGAAAAAATGGAGGAAGGGACAAAAGGAGGACAAGTAACATGATGAGAATAATTTTATGAAGAAACAGTACTATAAAATGGTTTTTGTAATATTCTGTCTCTTCTAATGGGTTCTGATGATGATGTATTAACACTTTGGATTTGAATTTCAGAAAAACATATCTGTTTATGAAATGTTGTGTTCTTCAGAACACCAGACAATGGGAAAAGTCCAAAAACTCAACAATCCTAAGGATTTTGTCCATTAATTCTTAATTCTGATCTTCAAATCCAATATCTATACAACCAAACATACACTTATACCAAAGCCTGCTGTAACGAACAGTGTAAGAAGAAAAAACCAAAGGAAGGAATGAGTTAAGAATAAAATGTGAGATGACATTCACGTGACTCTGCTTGTATTGTACCACGAATGGCTACAGCAGTGAAAACTATAACATACAGAAATTCTTGCACAGCTAAAATAAGTGTCCTTAACCAAAACAGAAACAATAGGAATGTCTATCAGGATCTCAGCATTGTCATTCAATGACAGAAATCAAGAATGTGCTGTAACAGTTAAAGTAAAGGCGGAACTGTCTGTGCTTCAGCACACCACACCATGAAAACATGGTGTGGTGTGGAGGTAAAGCTTCACACATTACAAACATCACCACTAGCCCAGGGGAAGCTTTGCACTCTGGCCACTTTATGAGTGCAGAAAGAACCTCTGGAAATCCAAGTGTATAGGCAGTTGAGTATTGCTAACAGTTAACAAAATGTAATATAAAACTGAGGAATATAAACAAGCATAAATTGAGATCTGAGGTCTTCACAACAATGAGTGAAGTCTTCTGGGTTATGTCATCATAACATCCTGAAGATGCAGGCAGTCATGAAACCATATTAACCACATACCACAGCACATTGTGTCATAGCACAGAACATCCCAATATTTAAAAATCAGTACTTATAAATCTTCATACACAGATTTTCTGCATACAAACCAGAATCGCTGCCAAAGCTACCTGATGTTCTGTATTTCATTTTAACTCTGTGTTTACACACATCACTGAACAAATAATGAAATTACAGCACACAGGTTGTCATGTTAAAGAAGGAAAATTGAGAATATAATTTTACAAGCTGCAAATGAAAGAAAAGTATGAGTGATAATAATATTAGTATACATACACAATCTTCATTCTGGATGAACCTCTGAAGTTGGCGACGCATATACACACAACCTAGGAATCTCTCCAGTGGAGAGAGTTCTGGACCAGGAAGATGCTGCGGGTGTGGTGAAGGAGAGCACAACAGATCTAAAGCCTCATGGGTCAACAAAGTAGGGACCGCTCCTGCCCAAGATCGCTGTGGAAGTACTCGTGAGAGATGACTTATACCTGCACGGGCACACACAATATTACAAGACACCATTTTTTCTAAACTACATCATTCTTAATTTAAGTTACAACTTATCTTGCTCTTCTGTATCAGCCACATATATACAAAAAACAGTAAAAAGCAACAAAAACCATAAGTAGAAGAAAAATAAATTTAATTAATGCACAAATAAAAAATGAATGCAGGATGAACTAGGATTAAGTGCAAAAACTACTTTATCTTCTGAACTTCACATCGGCTTCGAGGAATCCTATTGTTGTAGAGAAGCATAAATTCAATTCCTACCTCACACAGAGCACTGTGCACCTCCATCACAAAGACCACCAAGTTACTGCTGTTTAAGGAATAATCACTGTTTATTCTGAGAATAATATAAAACATGTAAGTATACTGTGTGGATGAAATGCATAGTTTACGAACATTAAATCTAGTTGTTCATATCACTGCTTTAAATAGTTAATGTCGAAACCATATGATCTCTGGACACCTTCATTCTTATTCTTGGTTTATTTATTTATGCTTTCAATCACTCACACTATGTAACATCAAATGAAAGGACAGTGACTAGGCAACGAGAAATGATGTGGAAGCAGTCACAGCCTATTACGAATATAACCCTTAAGAGCCTGGTTGACCATATGGTGGTCTTCACATTTATTTAAAGACTGCCCAGCAGGGCATAAGCTGCTTTCTTTGTCATTACTCTGGAGTGTCCTGCAGGAAACCAGGGATCTTATGCCATGTGGTGTGGTAGCGACACACCAACTTTTCGGAGGAACACACTGCCTCCATCATTGGGGCCAAGGCATTCCATATGATCCATTTGTTAGCAGTACGAGTCCACAAAATTCCTACATCAGCTTTCTGATGTCTTGTTATCTCATGAGCAGCCCCGCATGCATATGTGCTCCTCTCTCACATGCAAGCACGCACGCACACACAAACATCAGATGAACTCAAAAATGGTGTCAGAAAACAAAAAGCAATACACATATACAGTGTAGCCTGAATATCACAAATATCTTAAGGTAGCATATATACAGTATATATTGCCTATTATACAATGGATCATCAGTCTCTTCTTAAACCATGTACTGCAATAACTACAGCCTAAGTAACAGCAATCTGCAGCAGTGCATTAAATTAACAATAATTTAACCACATCTGAGATGATAACAAGACCACCTCTTTAAAAAAGCAGAACTGTTTAAACAACAGTCACACGAAAACAATATGGAAGAAAATATGTACCAAAGTACATGGAGAAATCTACCTTTGTGACACTGAGAGATATGATATGAGGTGATCACTATAACGAGTAATGACATCTGCAATGTGACACCATGTTGTCTGACACAAGTTAATCAATGGTTTGGGCAGACATACTGCCTCCATCTTCAAGGTCCTTTAAAATGCTGGTGAACTTTTATCAGGTTATATGGTACCACATCCCAGAAAATAGCATAACTATTCTTAAATTCTATCTTCCTTTGTATGGCATCATAATAAAAAGGTATTTCAAATTGTGAAATATGGAATTAAAATGGGGACCATAACACTACCTCTAATAAGAGAAATTTTAAGCATGGTAATGTTATATCTATATTAACACGGTAACTGTTTCTACAACTACAACGAACAAACAAAAGAGGAAGCAATCTACACTTGTGTAACATGAATCTTCTACTCTACTTTCATATCATATTAACCTTCAACCAGAGTTCTATGATTTATATGCAAGTTCCATGCTGAAGCAATGAAAGGAATGAGTCACACAGTTATTGCTAACTGACCTGGCTTATGATCAGCTTGTGGGCTGTGTAGGGCCGAATGCCCCGTACCCCCAGGTGACTGCCCTGGACGGGCTGGCGAAGGGCGAGGCATGCTGGGAGAACCAGGCCAATTGGACGTGGCAGGGGAGGCCATGCTCTGGGACGAAGGAAATGGGCTGCCATCTGTATGCCCTGGGCCAGGCAGAAATCACACTACTGAACTTCAAATTCTCTTACTGAACAAACTCAGGCCACACTTGTAGGGCCATTTATTGTTTTTCATTAAGTTCATTAATGTGAAGTGACTTCAACCATTCATAGCCTTACTATCCCAAATTCATGTTAGCATTATCACCATCTGATACATTAAAACACTGCATATTAAACCACCACCCAAACACAAATTCATTCTGCTATAGTTGTGTAAGATTATTACAACATATAACACTTGCAGAGCTTAAAAAAGAAAACAAACTGTTAAGTATTTTGTTAAATAACATTTTGAGGGCATGCAAACTAACATTCTTTATATGCAAAAAAGAAAATGGCTGCAGCATCTGACTTTAAAAACCATTTATTTACTACACTTAAAAATAATAGCATATATAAGGCAGACATATGTATATTTTGTTTGAAAACAGCTCTCTGCTAGCATCATAAACCATAAATGATTTAATTTCTTAACTGTGTAACTACCCTTGTGTTTCCTGAAAGAAACTATATAGAAGCCTAAGCCAATGCATAATAATCAGAACTGTGTGATATACCTTCATGTCACATAATACAGTTAAAACCTGTACAATAAATCCCTAATTCTAAACTATTCCCTTGTCAATATTCCATTCTCAATATTCTCGTAACAAGTATGACATATATTTAAACATAGTGTGCTACGTTATGTTGGGAAATGATTTCTAAAAATGAACAGAGATCAATAATTCCTGAATTTAAATAGCATCAGAGTATTAAAGTGTTCTCTAAAACATTCCTTTATACTTCTGTTTTTAAATCATTTAGTATGAAGATTAGTTCACAAAGTAATTTTCTTGTAAAATTCAGTTTTTATTTAAAAATAACCATGGTTAGGTTTAAAAGAGGGGATGGACACACAGGTAGCTGGTCCTAAGTGTCAATATAATTTTAACCCTCTGAAGTGTAAATTTTAAAGGCTTCATATAATGTGAGAGCGCGGTTCAATTTTTCTCCCCTACCAAAACCACACTTCAGAAACTTCCTGCCCACACAGCAATACAAAGATGTGCTGAACATATGCTTTATTAGAGAGACAGAAAATGGAAAATGTATGGGGACAATCATACTCCATGCAGTACGTCTGACTTCGTGGTGTGCTCGCACTCTACCGGACATGGGAAGTATAAAAACATGTGGATCACACTCCATGCAGCAACGATATGGTCATACTTATCAAAAGGTTAAGTATGCCTTGCACATATCTCTCTTGCCCTCTCCTTGCTCTCTCCCTTCTCAATAAGAAACACAAACACAGGGATGTGTGTAGTTTTATCCTTCCGTTCCCCCACTCAAAGTACACATAAAGTTCCAAATAGAATTCATAAAGCCTACTTCAATACTGCAAATATTTAAAATTTGCATATATTACTGTTTGTCATCAGCAGCGACTTGTAGCACAGAGCAAATGATGCTCGAGATAGTTCAAGTTCATATAGCAACAGGCGTGACCAAAGTGGTTTGAATGGCCATTGTACTGTGATGTGGAAAGCAAATGGAAAAACTACCACATTATCACTTTTCCTGGATAGTCTCTTTCTAAAAACAGAGATACCATGTATGCGAGATGTTTCCTCTGGAGACAAAACAAACCGGAGGGGCGGATAGAAGTGACAAGAAGACGAGGAAGAAGATGTAAGAAGATGCTGGATGATTTTGGGGACAGAAGAGGATATTCTTATTTGAAGGAGAAAGCTTGAGATCGCATTAAGTGGAGGAACTGTTTTGGAAAAGACTGTGGACCTGTCGTCTGACAGATTACGAATGAATGAATGAATATTAATGTTATTTAATTCTACTTCTGTGAAACCCCTGTTACTTAAATGCAGCTTCTGTCAGCAATAAATAGGTCTCAGTGTTTCATACCATCACATGTTGGTAACTGTTAGCAAACAATATTTAATATAGGATGTGTAGGTGTGTTTACTATCTCTACACCAAATATCACATACCTAGTTCCAATCATTTGTTAGTTATGATCATCAAACCAACTGCTAAAGACAATTTTTGCATGGTCACTGTGTTATTTTAAATTCTACAACAAAATATTTATAAAACTTGCATATTTCTCAAACCTGTAATGATGTACATTTCATGACCCTAAATTAAATTTATCTTGTGTTACTTTAACCTCACAAGTCTGTGCATCCACCATGTTGTTATTATTCATTGTAGGAAATTGAAAAGTACAACACTGACGTGGCCTCCAATGGCAAAATATATACATTGAGTTTCACCAAAGAATGGATAACTTATTGAAAAACTGGAAGGGGGAACATAAAGACAGCATGATTCTTTCACGAACCTACTTCCTTTCCTTAAAAAAAGAGAAAGTAAACTAAAAAAAAAAAGAAAATCATCTCTTTCAAGAGCAAAAGGGCTGCAAGTGGTTCTGAACATGAGTTTCTAATCTTTCTTGATTGACCCAAACACCCTAAAAATGTCAATGTAATTTGCAAATGAAAGCAATTACCCACATTTCACAGAACATGCACAATCACAGTTATTCTCCTTTTCGTACCTGTCTGTCCCATGAAAGAGCCAGCTGGAGAGTGTCCCACTGGTACATTGGGACAGGGACCAGGAGATGATGTTGGCATGATTCCTGCTGGACTTGGTACATGTAGAGGGTTTGAAGGCGAATTCGCCAGAAGTCCTCCTGGTGATGGGTGAGGTAACATGCTGGGAGATGGATTTATGTTGGGAGGCAAGGATGGAGGAGAGGCAAGATTAAAAGAAGTAGCTGGACTTGAGCCGAAACTCTGGTGCTGGCCAGCCTGTAATAAAAAATGTCCCAACACATGTAAGTACCCCCTGACAACCTAACTCCATAAAGGACCTTCAGTAGATGGTAGCACCACAGCTCACTAGTCACATTTGTAGGCAAAAGGCAAGGCAAACAAAATTTTCTGCACTGCACAGTGGCAATCCACAGATTTAAACTCTTCTTAAATTCTTCATGAATATAATTTTGATTTGTTACTGTGATTTCCAAATATATATTTGAGCTCTGTCACATTTAAAAGAATTTAATAGTTGTCTTTATATTATGATTCTGTCCTGTGTTCTGGTAACATGACAAACATATACTTAATTTTCTCCACCTTTATTTCTAGATCAACATCCTTCATAATGTTTTCTTTTTGGTATTTCCCTTTTTACAAAATAATTAACATCATGTGTCCCTTTTAGTTCATATTTTTCCTCATTTTCTTGGCCCTTCCAATTAGTACAGTCAAACGTGTTTAAGAGGTTAAAATTTAAGGCACTTCCCCATTTAAAAAATTCAATCATTTATTCAAAAAATTACCCCCAAAGGTTAATAAGCATTACAAAATTCAGCACTGCCTTATCACAGTGCTCTTCTGCAGACACTACATCAAGACAGAAGTAGGCATGTGTTAGATTGTAAAGTGGTGCAACACTTGACAAAGAGAAGTAACAAAACAATACTGTGTTGAAAAACCTTAATTAAGCTGGCAGTACATGGGCCGGTAAATTCTTAAAATAACAGAGAAGATAAACAGCTCACATGGGACTCAATTAAATAAGCCTGCCAACTAATACACCCCTAAGGAATGCCACCATGTTAGATACATTTAAACATCTAGTATGTCACATACAGTGCCATCATGGAATGTTTGGCATTCTTTGTCATAACATGGGCAGTCCTGCATGATGTGCACAATGGTAAGGGGATGCCACACTGGTTACAAAGATGTACGAGGTCACCTCGTAACAAATGACCACATGTAAGACAAATGTGACCAGTCCACAGCTGAGTGACAATGATCTCTTCAGTCCTGTTGAAGCTTCAATGTCTGAGGCCCTTATCATGTCACATCAACTGTATTGTCATTGCATTGCCATTCTATAGCAGGTAGAGTCCTGAGTGAAAGCTCTCTTAAGATTAAATTATCATCATTTCTGGCTTTTGTATTTCATTCATGCTATGTCAGTCTATGTGCCTGCAGAGAGCAATTGCTGCTGGAGCATTTGTTACTGCATGTTCAGAAGTTTGAAATGTACTGGTGTACTGAACAAATCACTGATCTGATTCATTATTTTGTAAAAACACTGAGAAACAGACAGCTGCAAAGATATGAATAAAATATAAACTATTAACAATAGGGATAAAATTAGGTATAATATTAGTGGACAGCTCCCAAAATATCATACACATAAATTTTAAATGGTTAATTCATTTAACTATTAATATGTATTAATATTCAAATCTGGGGCTAAACAGAATTTGGTACACTTTTTGGGGTCTGCCTTTTTAAGACATTTCCCTACATAAGTCATATGAGATACCTGATCCCATAGAAAACTTCCACTGTATTCAAGGGTGAAGATCAAAAGCAATTGTGATAAACACACCCATTTTCTGACTACTCTGAAGTAAGTCTCTGCATTTCTGTACTAATAACCATCTCATACAAGGATGGATTATGTTCATGAATGTACAGATAATTCACAATATGACAGCATTAAAAAATATCCTACATAACTGTCCAACTACCATTATGATTAGATATTTAACACCTGAACATGAATATTAAATTCCTAGAAGAATTTAAAAATGTGTAACACCTATATAATGAATTATTCTGTCCATCACATTGGAGAGTAGGTATGAGAATCTTTGGTTTTGGACAATGAAAAGGATTCCTTATTAATCTGGATCATTACAACCTTAGAAAGAATGNTTCATAGTCACCGCCGTGAAAGCCTCAAATCTTACACAGTATTAATTTCTGATTATAAAAATAGTTGTGTTTGCAGTCATCCAGCTCTCCCTCTATAACAATTCCATGTCTCTCTGAACGATGAGATATGGCAATTATGAAGAGGAGGATGATGATCTTTGCTGGCACAGAGACAAAATGAGAAACAATGGTGTTAGAATATTAAAAAATGGTATTTAAGTTGTCAATGGTTACAGTTCTGTACAAAATATACGACATTTGAAGTTCTCATATTCTGGCTTATGATACCATGCAGAAGATCAATTCAGCATGTTCCTTTGACATATTAGTATCCATCTACTGAACCAAAATATGAACACGATACATAAAGTAGCTCAGAACTGATGTTATCTTTAAGTTTCTGTTCACTGATACCACTATGCAAAGCAGCTTTACACTGTCTTAATATGACTTGTGTAAATTAGAAGATACCTGTGACATAGTTGGATGTGGGCTAGCAGGTGTATGTGGATTACTTCCAGAAGGAGGCGTAAGAGGAGGATGGAAACGAAGGCCTCCTTCTCTTTGCTGCGCTGGTGACTGAGGTCCACGATGATGTGCTCCAAGAAAGGACATAGGACCACCTCCATCAGAATCCATTGTTATTGGTGAGGGCGGATTATCGTCTTCTGACTGAGAACGGCGCCTGAATACAGCTGTCTCATCCACATACTTGGAAAGGAAAGCCTGCAAAAAGGAGGGGACTTTTGAGCCTAGAAACAATGTTGGTTACATTAGTAAGCAAAATATACATGTATGCTGCACTGTTTTTGCTCAAGATATTGTTGGATCAATTCTTCTCAAAGGCAATATATATACAGATCACTGTCTACATGACACTCATGAACAATTTTCCCTTATTCCACTACAGCAATAAAGATTCTAAGGAAACATATTTTCAATAGAACAGAGTCAAATTCAGTCCTGGACATTCTAAATGAATTTCTTCATGACAATACCTTCTAATGAATTTCCTTCACATTTCAGATATGTCTAGTCCTAGCCAGATCTCAATTAGATTTCTTCTTAAGGGCTTTACTTAAGGATAATTTATAGAAACAATTCAAGAAAAACAAACACTTCAATACTTGTGATTAGTATGAATGAACAGCAACAGTATACATACTGCAAATGTTTTCACCTAGCTTCACTCTTCTGAGATTGCTATATTCAGTGATACAGTATACACTGATGTTTATCACTTATTTTAGTATACACATGCATGCATGTATGGACATAATTAAAAATTGAATGTTCTGGAAAGATCCTTAATAAATTGTCTGATTCAGTGCAAAGACAAAGAGAACATACTTTCACACTGGTTTGTGTACCACTGTAATGCATTATTATTTAATACAATTTTGTAAACACCACAAATTAAAAAATAAAATATTTATTTCTTCAGTATCCCAACATATTTTGACTGTCAAAGAGTCATCTTCAGGGGTGTTCTATCTGTTAACCAATACTTTCACTACAGTCATTCAAGGTTTCCACAATATTTTTCATTCGTCCTAAAAACATATATTACAATTCATAAAAACAAGTAGAGTACAATTTACACATTAAACAATGTACCAATACATTACAATTTGATGTTTTTACTAAACTATACTAAATCAAGAAGAGAACATGTTATACTTCTGGGTTAGTAATGACAGCTGAGTCTGTATATGCAACTAGTTGTAGTCAGTCAGTCTCACAAAGTATTATAATGGGCAAAAATAATTAAAGAAATAATAACCTTCAAGCCTTGTGTCGGAGTGAACTCATCCACAACATTGCTGCGATCAAAACGACTATACGCTCCATCACGTAGACTCACCAAGCCACCACCCCGAAGCCTAAGTTCTAGGCAATACATGCCTTGATAAGCAACCCTCAATAAAGTGGGTGACTGAGGCATTATTGTGAATGTCTGTACTGGAACTTGTGGTCTCTGCAAATAAAAGGTAATGTGATTCATTTATAAGGTTATCTTGTCAAGTATATAAAAGAAACACCAAAAGAAAATTTTACAACTGTCAGTTCAGAACTCCAGAATAATATAAAACCTTTTCTTATCTCAAATTTGACTGTAAAAGGAACTACATACCAACCATTAATGTTTATCTTCAATTAAATTTCAATGGACAACCATTCAACTTGCATGAAAGCTCACTAACTGTATTTTTCAAACTTTTATGGAATTCACATTCCAGCTCAGTAAAGTTCTGGCCCAACAGTCCCACCAATAATGTGTACTCTTACAGGACCCACCACATACTGATCCAAATGCTTAAAAACGTATTTATAATATTTCACTTGATAAGGGAAAGAAAGACAAGCATCTGGTGAACTGCTTGATAACAAAAGGACACAATATGCATACAGTCAAAGATAGTTATTATTTCAAACATACACTGCATGGTATTTTAATTATTCATGGCTTATTTAATAATGATCAGAAGCTCAATTTTAAATTCTCAATTTTGCTTTAATATTTAAAATTTAAATTTAAATTTAAAATAAAAAATCACAGAGATACCAGCTCTATGCTTACACCTGTATGTGCTGCAGCGGCTACCTCTTGCTTTTAGCACAGTCTGCGTGTTATTCTGTCTAGGCTCTCTGTGTGCATGCCACTGCTTCTCTTCAATACATTCAATATAAGCATAGAGCAGGTATCTCTGTGATATTTTATTTTAAATATTAGAGCAAAATTGAGAATTTAAAATTTTAAACCAATCGACAAGTCAATAATAATAAAGATTTGAAACATAACTGACAAAAACTGACAAGGGGAGTCCTGGAGTATCAGGTGCCGATTGATGACAGAGTATGAACAATTGGAAATCTGAAGTTATATGTTAATATTGAGTGCAGGACATCCAAAGGGAATCACAATTGGTACTGGACAGCATTAAGGAAAATTACTTCCACTGTGCTTTTGAAGCGTGGAAAAAACAAACGGGATGGCAGTATACATTCCCAAGGAGACTACTTTGAAGGAGATGGCAACCAAAATTGAGTAAGTTCAGCCAGCATTACTTTTCTGACCACACCTCATATAACATAAGAGCCATTTCATTCTTTAAGTACAGTTTATTTTAGGAAAAAGGTGAATACAAGATACTTCAGCTAGTGTTATTCACTCATTGCCTTTCCTCATATTAGAAATGCCAGATAAATATTTCTGTGGTACATGTTAGTTCTACAGGCCTTTATATAAATGAACAGCATATTCCTTCAAGTTGGTGTTATTACAAGTTACCTTACCTGATTGTGAACTCCTAATTGTGGAATTGTTGGAAGTTTACTTATAGATATAAGGGGTTCATATGTCTCATGAAGAAGATGGACAATTTGTGCCAGGTTACGATGCCGATTGAGGTGTGCCTCCAACTGTTCCCTCAACAGTGAATGGGCATTCACACAACTATTTGTAGCACCTGCAAATTAATTACACAAACTAGTAAAATGAAATATGAAAGCAAGCACACCTCTTTATGCTTAGCTTCAGAAAGTTCTGGGACAGGAGACATACCTTGAATTTGGAGCTACTACGAAACTCCTAAATGGAGTTTCCTTAAAAATACTTCTCAAAGGCATTATATACATTTGTCAGCATTCATATACAAGTTTGAAACATTCCTGAAAGCCCACCATATGTTACCTCTTATATTGTAATTTTCAGAGCTATCTGAACCTCTGCTGCAGCTTTGAAGTTAGTCCTTCTGCAGAAGATGCAAACTTGCACAGTGTTTGTTAGAGTTCAATAGGTGAGGAAGCAGCATAGTACCATAGATGGTGAGAAGTCACTGCTTGGGGAGATACTGATATGTGGTGATAATGTCATGCAAAAGCACTCACTCTTTGGCCATCCACATTTTAGTACACTTCACATAAACTGCCTCTAGTACATGAGAGCACTTATTCCACCTTCCTTGTTGACTGCAGCGCCCTCAAAAACAACCTTTAGTACAGGATGCGTTGACAACTAAAAAAAGATCTGCAGTATCATTTACCCTTCAATCCATCCTGGACGGATATTATGACTCTCGGAGAGAAGTACAATTTACACCTGAAGGACTGTCATTTAGACTGGGGATTGTAGAGGAATCACCAGATTTTGTCATTTGTGATAATCTTTTACAGAAAGTCTGGATCTTTATTTGCTGCACTGATTAAATGACAATGTTACACAGCTGTGAGTCAGCATTTTTGTATGATGTGACGGCAAACTAGATGCAACTTCACATATTGATAACACAGCAATTTTTTTTTCTCGGCACTACAGCCCCAGTGGGCCTAGGCCTACCTCCATAAACTTCTCCGTTCACTTCGGTTTTTCTAGATCTTACACATTCGGTAGGACTCCTTGGGCAGGTGATCAGCTCATTGCAAGGCCTCTACCTATATACAAACACAGAAAAACACACACACGCAAACTAAACACTGATGCCCTGAATGGGATTTGAACCCACAATCCCAGTTTCCAAGCAAGCGAAGACAGTACATGCCTTAGACTGCTCAGATACCGCGACCGGCCAATATAGCAATTACCAACCAAAATTCCAGCTTTCCCTGGCATCAGTTAAAATATATCAATGACCATAGCACATAATCGCATGTGTCCATTTCATACTGTCCTTATTTCATGCTTGTAGGCCATCTGTTGTGCTGGTCAGTCTTTCAATTCTTATGACTCTGATCCTATGATGTGACTAAACATATTGGACTGGGATATCACTTGCTCACCACACTCTGTTCAAAGCACAAGCAGTGCGTCATAAATTTCCCAAGCACTGACAAAATTTGGTAAGCCTGCTGCTCAAGGCATCTACTTCCTCACTTCAAGATCTTTTACATACTGTGTTCTCTTCTAAGAAATACTATGTCTGCCAATCTAAGAGAAGTTGAACAATTTGTAAGGGGTGAGCAAGTCCTGTGATGTGCTAGCAAGAACCACGATGATCCTGTATTCAATACTACCCCAGAAATATACAATATCCAGAGTACAGCAATCTGGAAGCAAGAAAACTGGTTTTGGATAGCACTACATCTCTTACCTTGACACATGTGGACCTCTTGGTGTGGAAAGTACTGGGTTTTATGTTGAAAGTGTTATTATGCTAGGGTGTGAATGGATGAAGCCATAAGTGACAATGAGAGTAACACTTGTGCAACCTCTTACATAACCTCTGATAACTCAAGACCTATGGCATATCTTATACTAAAAGTTATATGTAAATGAAGGAATAAAGACTGATCTATCCACAAATGATGTTTATTTTACTCGAAAAATAATATTGTACATTGTTTAAACAATTACCCAAAACATGTAATAATTTTACTAATTTTACACTTTCAACCACATACAATGACTGAATGGTGAGACATGGACCAGGGCATATTGCGAGTGAAATGTGTCAATAAATGCGAGCTTCTCAAAAATGCAATCTGTTTTGGTCCATCACTTATGGTTTAGGGGTTATGACCATTTGTTTGTAACAAATATGGCTAATCCAATTCCTCTCTTTGGTGGATGATGAAATACTACAGGCAAACTGCTAGCATATGACATCATGCACTAACAAGATGTCCGCTGATAATAGTCATGTTGCATATATGAGAGAGTACAGGAAGAGGAAGCAGTTAGAAGAAGATAATTGTATTAATGTAGCCGAACGAGCAAAGTCACATGCCGAATGACAGTGTGAATACAGAGAAACACATAAAAACTTATCTGCTAAATACATGCATAATTACAAAAATGTAAAGCTCAGGAAAATAAAACACCACAAGCATCTACACAAACTGACTCTACACCAACTCCAATTATATACAATTATAATCAAGCCAAGATCTTTCTCGATGAATGACTAGATCTAATTCTTGCATCGATATGGTCTTGGACAAAACATGGACAATTTATCCTACATGAACTACATTTCGTACTTTAGCTATCACAGACCTATCTTGAGCACACCAAACTCCTCAACTCACTGACTTAACTACAAACTAAACACTTTGGGTAATTTCAATAAAAAATGTACCACTGTTTCAACAAAGCTTCAATTTTAATGTACAAAGTATATTTATTCCAATACAAATCCCAATTTAATAATGTTTTCAACATTAATCCTGGGAACCAGGGTTCCCCAATCATTTTTTCTGTATAAGGACAGATTCAAAATAGTGGATACTTGAAATCTGCACCTGGTAAAACTGTAGCTGGGAATGGACTGTGACTTTTCATCATTTTCTTGCTAGTTCACCTCCTCTACATTTAAATATTCACCTGTAAAATATTCTTTTTCTAATACCTCCAACTCTCCCCACCCTTCCATTACTACAGAAAGGGAGTAAGCTCAATGCCTATACAGATCACAGCACATTTCAGTTATACCACTGTCACCAAACTAATTTTCTTCATATTTAGATATAATTAGAAACATTGCTGATACACTACTTACCAAATATAAGTCTGAATGCTTTATCAGAGCTATTCCAGTCCACAGTAACTGTAGCACCACGTTCAGGACCATAGCCAAGAACTAAACGACTATAGCTGTAGGACTTGATTGTAACCATATTTGACAAGTTGTACTTCTCTGTAAATTTAAAAAAAAAAAAATTAATCTTAATATTCAATTTACAAAGCTCACTGAATGACAATGAAATACAACAAAATTGTGGTTTTCTGGGATGAGACATTATGAAATCTGGCAAACAAGTGCCTGCTTCTCACTCATTCACCTACATCTTTAACGTAACTTAAAAATGTTCACAATCCTTCTTTAATTTAAAATAACATTAAAATCACATCAAATGCTACACATATCAGCCTTACTAGGCCACCTTCAGACAACTGTTCACTTTTGAGAAACTGTTGCACTGCACTAGATCTGAAGTCAATATATTTCCTTGCGCTTGCATTATTGTTGTTCACATTACAATAGATTTCTTTCAGAATGAAACTCTTTCTCCATTCTGCATTATTTACCTTTTGCTGCATCCATGTTTTGCCCCCTTCATATATGTGTTCTCACTAGTTGGGCGTATGTCTTTTGTATCTACCATATTACACAATGCTCTACCCCAAAACATCATGATCTTAATATTCCTTGAATGAAAACCTTAAACCTGATACAATGAACCACATTAGTTGTCATTCAACATAGACATGGTGTATATATATTCAAGGGCTTCCAAGATCATTCTCTGATTGACTATGGAGAAGAATTTCTCACCTTTCTATACTAGGACTCAAACATGACCATGGACAAGTGGCACTTATAATACCAAGAGAAAAACAGCTACAAGGCTGCAACATTTCAAGAACTTTCACTTGAACTGAAGTGTCATACTCTGTAATACTAAAAATGGTTATGTCATAATGTTATGAAGAACAAACAGAAGTTTCTACTATTCTTCATTACCTCAGAGCTGTTCTGAATCTTCACTGTCACTGATTCTACATCTAAGTTACTGGAACCATATTCCGTCTTGCTGACAACAACTATCCCCCCCCCAACTCTCTCATAACCTTGTACAGCTTCACAAACCAGCTTCACTACATCCTATACGAACTATTTCTTATACATAACTGTAACCGCACCATGCAGGAACATGTTCATGTTGTTCATTTAAATTATTAATTATAATTTTTTACAACGAACTGTATTATCAGATGACAAAGGATAAGACAGAATTGACCCCAGCACCAGCAGGTGCCAAGAACGACATCTGGTCTTCCTTAGGGACAAACAAGCTGCATGTAACTTGTAGACCCAGAACAGAACAGGAAGTATCCTGCTGCATTTTCTGGGAATTTCAATGCTGGACTTAGGAGGTACGAGTCTTTGAAAATTGAGACTTGACAGATATGACTTGCAATAATTTTCGGAGAGGCGTGCCGAGCGATCGTTAGTGTACCTTCTTCATTTATTTGAGAGCTGTCAGAGAAACCGTCTGGTACTTAGGCCCAAATTTACTTCAATCTCATTAGGGATTGGCAGAATGTAAATGAGACTAACACCCCAATTTTAGGTGCAGCCAATTGTTAAAATTCAAAGGAGAGGAAATAGGGCATTCCCAGAACCGATAAGACTTCTGCCTCTCCAGAGCGACCAGTTTGTCTCAGAGAGTAACAGCAGTAGCATCGCGACATTCGGACCTCCCGGACATTAAATCGGTGTTCCCCCAAGTCCAGTACAAAAATTCAACAGTGCTACAGCCTTGTAATTGGTAATTCTTGTTCACATCTGCAATAAAGAGCGACAGTGTTGAGTGAAGTGTGTGTTTCAAGTTTTCCTTATCTCCTTGTGCGAGCAAGGCCCAGAAGTCGCCTGAGACAGAATCTTGTCCTACCAACTGAGCAGGTGAAACTCCAAACGCCCATCTATCCATGTCCCCCCTTTTTGTTTACCCCATTCCAAATTCGTAGATTGCAAAAAAAGTCAACTGGCACCCATACCGATTCAAATTCAGAGTGATGCCACACCCTACTCTGAACCAAACAGCAATGAGGAAGTGGTGGATAGAAGTGGAGGAGCCAGGCAAGACCCATGCAGCTGTGGATACCACCCAGCAGCAATAGTGACCACTACGGTGAAGGTAGGTCACCGGCCCAGAAACCAGCGGGCATTAACCAACACATGAGAATAAGAAGGGGTGGTTAGAGAGAAAGTGGAGCCCAACGTAAGGGCTAACGACAATTAGATAACCCTTTGAAATAAATATACTGAAAGACAAATAAGTAACAGAATAAGATGAAATGGTCATGTTTCAAAAACAAAGACAGAATCCCAAAGAAGGAACAAAACATGATACTAAACGGAAAGCACCCAGAAGAAGAAGAAGAAGAAGAAGATGTTACAAAAGATGTCACACAGAAAGGAAGAAAATGGAAGGAAAATGAGGAGGTGCTTATAGAACACACATGCAGATGGAGGGGCACAAATGGGATACAAGAGGAATGAATCTACGACACTGGTGGGAAAGACAGAAGGAAAGAGACCACTAGGAAGACCAAGGCTTAGCTGAGTGAATAATATTAAAATGGATATTGGAGAGATAGGATTGAGTGGTATGGATTGGACTGATCTGGATAGGGATAGGGACCAGTTGAGGGCTCTTGTGAACACAGTAATGAACCTTTGGGCTCCACAAAATGCTGGGAAGTTCTTGAGTAGCTGCACAACTAGCAGCTTCTCAAGAAGGGCTCAACTAGTTAGTTAGTTAGTTCTGTAACCACAAAACTGAAATGAGAATTATTAATTAAAATAACCGTGTGCATTTGCATGGCACTTCTTTACTATATCAGTAATGAAACTTATACAGCACAGTAGAATAGTGCTGTGTCCAACCACTTCTTAAAATTTGAGAATTAATTTCCCATTGTTAATCCCCTGCACTCTGAGGTGTGATCTTGTGGTGTGACAACAATGCACACAGATCCACTGCTCCACTATTTCTGCTTTCACATTTTCTTCCACTTTAGAGGCCACAGAAAATGAACTAAAATGAAACAAGCAATGAAAATACTTGTTTCCCAAAAGAAATTAAATTAAGCCATGAAAGCCCCAAAAGAAAAACAGATGAACAAAGAAAATAAAAGTATAAAAAACAAACCGACTGACTGGCTGGTTTCGTTCTCACAACATGACAATTCTTATAACTGCAGAACCATTATTCATCCACACTCTTGTCTGAATCCTGGAATAACACACTTCTACATCCTAATAAGCATTTCACTGACATGAACAATCAATAAAATTCAATTAAGTTTGTTTTTCAGCAACTGTTATCAGAAATGGTCACTTTAAATCTCAATGAAACCACACTCACCAATCCTAAAATATTCAGCCAAGTCTTCAACCACTGTGTACAGGTGCACAATTTGTGCCCAATCACTAAGCAAAGCATCCACTGTCTTAGACACAGTTTCCGCAGTTCCCATATCAAACTGGAAATACACAGGCCGGCGCAGACCTGAAACATATTAATTACACTGCATTTTCCAATTTGTCCAACACAAGCTGACATAAAGCATCATGAGTCAGAAAACCAGTTTCATGACTCCCTGAAATGTGAGACAGTAAAATGCAGTCATGAGCCCCAAGGAACTGGGAACTAAGAATGACTATGTTAGAGAGGGCAAGCAGCAATTGACCTGACCTAACATGACCCAGCAAGAATGGAGTGAGGCTCCCAGAACTGTCAGACAATAAAATATGGTCATGAATACCATGGGACCCAGAACAAAGAATCACTGTGCTGGTGAGGGCCAGCAGCAATTTACCAGACCACACCAGCAAAGAATGTGCTGGCAACTGCCAGCAATAGTTTACCAAACAGGTAGAGAGCCAACGGTGAATGACCTTGGAGCACAACAGCAGCCAAATACACACTCAAACAATAATAAACACCACTCAGAAATAGACTGCCATATATCAACAACATAGCTGTGAAAAGCTGATATGCCAGCATCATCACACCATACTGAGGTTTCTGTCCACTGCTGTCATGGTAAGCATACGGTGGCGAGTTCACAAACTTTATCGCCAGACCTCGTAGTCACTATCATGTGACAGTATTATATATTTTAATTACATATTTTTAATTTATTAATTATTGAGTCCTCCACTTGTCATTTAACATGCATGTCCCATTTTACTAAATGCCACCTCCTACTGATTCAAAGCAGATAAGACTGTTTACAGATACACCCACAGAGAAGAAAAGGGATGGTGCATAATGACTGATGCCCAACTGGATGACACTGCTTTCCAGTAACTTTCTGGACCAACTGTACTTTCAATATTGCTTCTGAAGCTATTTATGGCTAACAGTCATAAATGTCCCATTATCCAGTCCTTTCTGTCCTAACCTTGCCTTGGAAAAATTTCACATTCCACAATCTAACTCTAAGCAGCTTACCCAACCACCTCCAAGTTTTAAACACTGAGAAATGTACACCACCCGCTGTTTTCTGAACTTCTTCTCAAGTACCTTCCCTTCCCTTCCCTTCCCTTTCCCTCGGCTTTGATTGATTTAGGTGGGATATCACAGAATATTGCCTATACAAATGTTTAAGGTTTTACCACATCAACCTGTGTTTTGGTTACTGCCAACTGCTAAATTTTGGAAAACTCTTATTACTGCAACAAAATGGAGGAGCTTACATGTGCATATAAAGACTGAAATAATACATCTGCGTGAAGTTAGTAGTTTGTCAACAAGTGAAATGGGAAGGCAGTATGGACTGATTTCTTTGATGCTGTTTATATTAAAGAACAAACCAAAAAACAAGAATACACCAAACCCAAGCAAAGTAATATTGTTCCTTCTTTTGTGGGCATATACTGGTGCATGTGGCCTGCAATCTCAGTTTGTGACTGTGTGAGGAACACAATGCAATGATACTTCTGCTACCAGTGTAACATCATATCTGTGGGAACTACAGAGGGTACAGATCCAATACACATATGTTTTAAAGAGGCTTATTTTCATTATGAGCTTGGTATAGACAGTGTCACGTAACTTCGAACAAGGCCCCGCATTCCTAGTCAAATCCCACGCATAGCTTGTGGTGGGAGGAGTTTCTTAACACTCATTCTTCCACTGGCCGCCTGTCACTTCTCACAACCTCGAACTCACCCCCTTGTCTGAAATTTTTCTTCTGCACATTCAAGGTTACTCTTGGCCTTGTTCGAAGTTACATGACACTTGCTATAACATAAATCTGTCATATGACTTGGTTACAAAATTCAACAGTTATGGGTACAAATACAACTTACATTTCACTAGCATAACATACATTTTACAGGTAGATATAATGACTAATATCTATTACATATGTAACATTAAGAGTGGATGCATTTTAAATGACATTTTGAACAACCTGTAACATAATAAGCATATATAAGTACTGGCATGATTTAAGCTGCTTCATATCTTACACCTGTTACTCAAGTCTGATGTAAGGTGATACATTTATTCTCGCATGTATGCCCACGCAGCAAATTATGGGTACAATGTGAGTGATCCCTGAAAGTGGACAACAGATTGTGAGGAGAATAGGCGATATGTGCTTGCAGCTTGACATGCCATTTGCTCATAGAAGATGGCTCCTACTTAGCTTTCAACTGCAAGCAGAATTTCTTTAATTTTTCAATTCAGATTATGTTAATGATCACGACAACGCTGAATTATTCTGTTATTTTTACCTCCTCATAATAACCATTTCAAAGGATAAGAAATATCACAATACTCATATTTTTTAAACATCAGTGGCACACAAAATCCGAAGTTAGGAGCTGGACTTGTAGCTACATATTCCAGTGATTTAAATAAAACTACAAGGATCCATTATAATATGGATCTTAGTTATATTACAGATTCTCATAACATACAGGTTGCACTGTAATGAAATCCTGAGACTGGCATATGAACAGCATTAATTATACACGGAAGTGTCACTAGCACAAAATAATTTTGTTATCATGTAGCATGCAAACACACTATAATAGAAAATCCAATAACACCAGTTTACCTTGTTCTTTCGGATGTGAACTTGCAAGAGGGCTCCCATAGAAAACAAACTCTGCCATCCAGCTCTTTGTGGCTTTTCCTTGGACTCTGATGGCTACAGACAGTAAACGTTTGAGTAGGGCAAGCCAGGAAGCTGACTGAGTATCAACACCTGGTGGAGGTGGAAGCTGTACCAAGCGTAACACTAATGCTGTGGCATTTGCTTCAACCTGTAGCCCTTGATGTGCAATTTCACGTCTGGTCAGCTACAAAAATAAAGAACTGAAGTCTAAAAGGGGGCACACGGTAGCGTAGTTGGTGGAGGGGCTATGCTACAAGTCAGAAGGTCGCAGGTTCAAGTCCCAATGAGGTCACTGGATTTTTTCAATTGAGCTAATCCTTCCAGCCGCACTATGGCCCTGGGGTCGACTCAGCCTCTAACAGAAATGAGTACCAGGAGTTAATTAAATAATTTTCCTGGGGAGTAAAGCGCGGCCACCATACTAATAACAAACTGCAATAACAAGTACAGGACCATGAAACCTACCACAAAATATAAAATAAACTGCCCATGCAAGATAACACGCCCTTTCACAACAAGAATATAATAATCATTTATATCTACAGAACATTATAGATTAGTATATAATATCATAAAAACAACCACAGACAATAATAAGGTGGACCCATACAAAATCCATGTCACCATACACTGAAAACCAGTCACAATTTATCCACTCAATTCCCCCAATTTATTAAATAAGACAACCTAAGGAAACTACGAAATAATATATTTCAAGAATTTTACCACTTGACAATAAATGTTTTAGTTATATTTACATATATAAAACATTGAGTACCTGTGTATATATATTGTTTATACTTACATGACAAGACCAACAGCAATGCGTCTGTTGTGCGAAGAGTTTAGTAACGATCAATGACACTATTTTAATATCTAGAAAGGCCTGATGATGGTTGAAACACCAAAACATGTAGCATGATAACATTTCAAGAAACAACAATATTGAAAACAAAAGTTGTGACAGATATACTGTATATTATATATTAGTGATATGCACATAAAGATGCCTAACCTATAAATAAATATCATTCTCATCATGGTCATCATTTTTAACAAAAACAGCCAGAAGAAAGAATTTAAAAAAATAATTCACAACACAAACATTTTAATTTCTTACATCATTTGGCCATATTTTCAACATCTGTGGAAAATTATGGGAACTGAGAGTAAAAGCACTGTTCAAACCAAAAGTGAAGACTAACTTCATGTTCTCACTCCTTGACACGTTTGTGCTACTTCATCGACATATTAATGTTCTCTTAATGCCTCTTTATTATACAACACTACATGTTTCAGCGTAACTGGTCCTCATCAAGTGTATAAGATGTCGGACTGAAGGAAATTGCTGCTGTAATTACGCTGTCCTGCTTTTCATTTTTTAAGTAAGTGCTTCAAAAATACGAGTATTTTAGGTTATATTAGAGTATCGTGGTGTTGTTATGCAGACGCTTGGTGTATCTGTACTGTGTAATGCATAATATTGTTTTATTTATAAGCTACATACTTCATGTACATTCTGTCTCTGCAACTGTGATGTTATGTAAGTTTTTGTTGATGTGTAGGTTTATCCTTTTGTTCTGTGTGTGGCTCTTCTGAATGTTTCTGTAGAAGTTGAAGCTTGCTGCTGGCAACTGGGCAGTACAGTCACTCGTGTGTTTCTGTGTAGTTGGTTCCATTTTCACATAAGAGTGTAGGGCATGTGTGTTGATACCTGGTGTTCAATTCCTGCAGTGCTCTGAATAATGGGTTATGCGTGCGTCCATGTTTGTCATCCATTTGCAAGTTATTTTTGCCGATCTTGTATATGTGGTATTTTTCCATGTTTCAGTGCCTTCCTTTTCTATGTGTTCTCATAATGTCTGCAGTATTTTTATGGTCTCATATTTGACCTGTGTTTAATATGAGGTTTGAGTATCCTGAATTACTACTATGATTTCTAATTGCTTATATATATTCTTTGAATCTGGTGTTAAATATCTATCTGTTTGTGGACATTGTTTCACTGTTTTATATCATGTTTTGCATTCTGCATGCTATTATTATATTAAATAATTTTGTGATTTTTCTTGTTTCTTTTCCACTGTATGTGAAAGTGGCCAGCACACACACACACCCTGCACCATATATAAAAACAGAGCCAACTACACAGAACCACTTATCACAAGTAACCACGCGTAAGTCTCACTGAATTACACACTCCACACATTACACTTATAAAGTCTTCTCTTCTTAGTTGCACTTTTGCAACTCTTTTCTTCAAAGCCTCCCATACAGAATTGCACTCTCAACTGGACTCTGCGCTATTCTTTTCCACAACAGCTTCATGTCCTTGACTCACAGCTTCTCAGCTATGACTGACTTCTGGGTTATTCTGGAACCTCTTATAATTATTTAGCATGGGCCACATTGACAACCTCTCCATAACCATGTATTGCCTATTATTGTCTGAATTCGTTGCTGCGAGAATGATTACAGAGTCACTGCCTAGCAAATGATGAAATTCCTCTATTTCTATAGAAACAGCCCATATGTCAAAATATGATATGAAACAACAGAAGGTACACCACTACTCACCTCTTGTGCCAGTGTCACAAATGGAATCCTTTCATCACACAGAGCCACTACATGTGCCAACTCAGGGATAAAGTATGCAGGATGCTTTGTCCTCCGAGATCCTGGTTCTTGCCTACCACCAGCTTTACGTTTTTGAGGAAACTTCTCACTCTGATCTATATAAAAAAAATTGATTTACCAACTCGGGTTGGGTACCGTAACATTATCAGTGGTCTGAACTAACAATCTAGCATCCCGACACATGATTTATTTCCTTAATTTTTCTCTTCTTGCACAAATAAGATTCACAGCAAGATCAAGTTCATTTCAGACATCACAGAGATATGTTCTACTCCTTTTCTTTTTCAAAACATATATGCTCAATGAAAAATAAACAGTAGAGACAGTTATATTATAACCAACAGCTCATGTAGTTAGTCAACAGTATCTCACACAACAGAGACCTCGTTTCAATTATGGGGTAGTCCACCCATCAGATCTGTTATGAACAAAATGTTACTGTCACAGTTTCCTTCTGAGCAATTCAGGTTTCTCCTGCCAATTATCATACCAACAATGCTCCTTACTCATATATAACAAGGGATAATACAATAAGCCCATTCAAGGCTGTGATATCTCACTTCACTCCTAAAACTAATTAGCTAACTATCTATCAAACCACTATTCACTGAAAACTGGCTGCAATGGCAAGTTACAAAATTTCAAATTACACAAAACAGCACTGCATGTGGAAACCTGGACCTTCCACCTCTGTATCAGAATTCAAATCAATACACCGATTTGCAGTACATGGTCATAATGCATAAGCAGCTAACAGATCTTTCACAACAGAGGCAAGGTTAAAAAAATCTTGAAATGAGAGCACTAAATCAAAATTACATTAAAAAAGAAACAAAAAGGAGATTAAATTCAAGGACTGTTTGTTACTATTCAGTTCATAATAATCTCTATTCAAGTCAGGTATTTGAAAATACAAAGATTATAATGAACATACCATACCTTCAGCTATTCCTTGCACAAGGATAACATTTGATCTCTAATACTAATGGAAGAACACAGATTGAAAGTGTTTAAGAGAGAGAAGTAACAAGAGTATAAGGGAAATTTCATGAGCAACTTAATAATTTTTACTCATTAAATATTATTAATGATCAAATGAAGGAGGATGAGAGGGTAGATCATACATGGGAGATACTGACAATGCACAAAATGTTTCACTCAGAACACATGAATAAAAAGACCTCTTGTGAGACCTAGGAACAGGTTCTAACATAATATTAATACAGATATTAAAGAAATACAGTTTGAGGATACATACTGGATTAATGTGGTTCAAGAAAGGTCCAGTGGTGGGCTCTTGTGAACACAGTAAAGAACTTCCTGAATCCACAAAATGCAAGGAATCTGACTAGCTGAGTGACACCTTCTCAAAAAGAACTTACTTCAGAGACATAGTCCATTGTCATGTGACGAACATGTACTGAATTATCATTCCTTTTTAAATACATGTCTGTGTTTCAATAAATCAGCTAGACTCAACAGGCAGCTAGTCCTGGGTACCTTTAATACACACAGATTTTAACCATATCTCTGGGACTATAATTAGAATGAACAGGTCAAGGAGGATGAGATGGGTATGGCATGTAGCATGACAGGAGGAATGCATACAGGATATTGGTGGGAAAGCCAGAAGGAATGAGTCTACTAGGGAGACCAAGACATAGATGTATGTGGATATTATCATCTTAGAGAGATAGGATGGGGTGGTATGGACTGGACTGATCTGGCTCAGGACAGGGACCAGTGGAGGACTCTTGTGAACATGGTAATGAACTTTCAAGTTCCATAAAATGTTGGAAAGTTCTTGAGTAGCTGCATGACTGGTGGCTTCTCACTAAGGGCTTAGCTCCATGAAGTTAGTTAGTTAGTTAGTTAGTTATAACCCATAAAGAATGGTTTTAAT